AGAGCAAATTTCGTTTGCATAAGTCTGGGTATTGTTTTAGAAGAGTATTAAATTTTGTTGAATGGTTTACTGTAATGATACCACTATTTTCACTGATGGAAGCAACTTCACCAGTTACCTTTGGTTGAGTTAATCCATCAATCAGTTTCTTGCCATGTAAATCAATTATTAATTTAAATTTGTTAAGGAAATCAGCTCCTAAAATTCCTTTATTAATATTGGCCACTATATATGGAAATTGGAATTCATGCCTAAGTCCCAAATCAAGTGTTTAACATTTTTATACCATATGGTTCGATTTCGGTACCATTCGCTGCATACAACTTAAAATCAGCGGATTGTTTGTCTTGTGCTGATGCAAGTAAAATGCTAACATCTGCATCGCTATCCACTAAGAAACGCACTTCCGATTTTCTGTCTCTGATAAAAAGCGAAATTGGCAACGCTCTGGACATTATTGGTAATAGAGCTTGCCACCTCTTCTACTGCGCATTGTCGTTTCCCTGATTGGAGGACCTATCAGTTGACCAACTTCACGGCTGAATATATATATCCTGATGACATTCGACAGAAACGGAAATGATAAAAACAATATTTTCTTTAGGATTAACTCTTTTCCTAGAAGTACTGGGTGATCGACTGCGGGACGGAGAATTGTTCCTAACTCCTGGTCTTGATATACACTGAAGTGACAAAAGTCATGGGATAGCAATATGCAAATATACAGATGGCATTAGTATCGCATAGAAAATGTATAAATGCGAAGTGCTTTGGCAGGGCTTTCATTTGTGTTCAAGTTATTCATGTGAAGAGGCTTTGACGTGATTATGGCCGCACGACGAGAATTAACAGACTTTGAACGCGGAATGGTAGTTGTAGCTAGACGCATGGGTCATTCCATTTCGGATATCGTTAGGGAATTCAACATTCCCAGATCCACAGTGTCAAGAGTGTGCCGAGAGTATCTAATTTCAGGCATAACATCCCACCATGGACAGCGCACCATGGCCGACCACCTGCACTTGCGATGTCTGCGTAGAATTGTCAATGTTCACAGACAATAAACACTGCGTCAAATAACCGCAGAAATCAATGTGGGACGTACGAGGGACGTGTCCGATAGGACAGTGCGGCGAAATTTGTCTTCCCTTGGCTATGCAGCAGAAGAACCGACTCGAGTGCCTTTACTGACAGCACGACATCGCCTGCAGCGACTCTCGTGAGCATATCGGTTGGTCCCTAAACGAATGGAAAACCGTGGCTTGGTCAGATGAGTCACGATTTCAGTTGGTAAGAGCTGATGGTAGGGTTCGAGTGTGGCGCAGACCCCACGATGCCATGGACCCAAGTTGTTAACAAGGCACTGTTCAAGCTGGTGGTGGTTCCATAATGGTCCGGGCTGTTTTTACATGGCATGGACTTGGTCCTCTGGTGCAACTGAACCGATCATTGACTGGAAATGGATACCTTTAGCTACTTGGAGATAACTTACAGCCATTCATGGACTTCGCGTACTCAAACAACGATGGGATTTTTATGGATGACAATGCGCCATGTCACCGGGCCACAATTGTTCGCGATTGGTTAGAAGAACATTCTGAACAATTCCAGCGAATGATCTGGCCACCTAGATCGCCCGACATGAATCCCATCGAACATTTACGGGACATCATCGAGAGGTCAGTTCGTGCCCAAAACCCTGCACCGCCAACACTTTCACAATTATGGACGTCTATAGAGGCAGCATGACTCAATATTCCTGCAGGGGACTTCCAATGACTTGTTAAATCCATGGCACGTCGAGTTGCTGCACTTCGCCGGGCAAAAGGAGGACCGACAAAATATTAGGAGGTATCCCATGACTTTTGTCACTTCATTGTATGATGAACAGTCATTTCGGCAATTTGCTGTTAGAGGAATTGAATTTTCATTAACAGTTCTGTATTCGAGCAATTACCAGCTGTTGATACACCCCAAATTTCTTTTAAAAGGCGTCAAATCTGAAATTTTATCAGCCATTGTGATATCACCCCTTTCTTCGTCCTCCCCCTCATAGAAAAATAATTCCACCTTCTTGTATTTTCAAACATTTACTGCACACACAAAGCTACACACTGTACTTGCTTTGGATGTACATATACTAAAATTGGAACGATACAGAGAAGATTAGCATGGCCCCTGCGCAAGGATGACACTCAAAATCGTGAAGCTTTTCACATTTTTAATTGGATCCAGTCCACCATCAGGCGCTACGGATTTGCTGTGAGGCTTTCAGAACATCTCCAAAGTTTATATGTCATCTATTTTGAACCATCTCTGGAATTTAGACGCAAGCAGTTGTCCATTGATCTTCATTATAAAATAATGTCACAAGCCGAACATCCTGTCCGACTCATAACATCTGATCAGCACTGATATATCTACCAAGCACGTCCTTCATGTATCCCACCTTTTGATCTTCGAATTCACTCACTGATTGAAGAATTCAACCTAAAAGATCTGCATCCCAAAGCTTTAACTTTTTCGGTATTGCTCCCTGGCAAGAAGGGAATATTCACCTACTTAACATTTTTGGAGAACTTAAGAAGAGTAGTACCAATGATGTCCAATATCAACAAATTTTTGTAGAGCATAGAAGCAGTCATTCTAACTATAAAGCAATTTTTACTGATAGCTCAAAGAATCATGATCATGTCAAAAAAAAAAAAAAAAAAAAAAAAAAAAAAAAAAAAAAAAAAAAGAAAAGGGGCAGCTTTTGTTTGTGATAAAGAAATCAAGAGTAGTAAACTTCATAAGGCTGCTTCTGTCTTCACTGCAGAAATGTTTTCCATTTTGAATTCCTAAATCTTTATCTCTAAGTAGAATAGCAGAAAGTTCATCATCTACTCTCACTTTCTGAGTGCTCTTGAATCAATAAATATAAATACTAGCCACCCTTTGATCTTAGAAATTTTAAAGGCACACCTCCGTTTGAGAAACGCAGGTTATTCTATTGCATACTGCTGGGTGCCTGGACATGGTGGCATCAAAGGCAATGAAGTCGCCGATGTCGCAGTAAACTCTGCTGATATTACCTGAAAATGATTTCCCTTTTACAGACATACGGAATTACATCAGAACATAAATCTTGTCCAGGTGGCAAGAACTCTGGGAATGCCAGACACTGAACAAATTAAGGCAGGTAAAACCCAATTTGGAGTATTGGAAGTATAGAGAGGGAATCGAATGGAGGATGTACTGCTGACGCGCCTACGAATTGGTCACTGCAGACTGACACATCAGTATCTCTTGACACTAATCTCGTAAGATTTTTAAAAGGCATCTCTTTTTACCATATGATTTGAAGTTTTTTCCTTTTCTCTTGCTCTGCCTGTTGCTAGAGCATTTCTCAAAGTCGTTTCTCCATGCCTTCATCAGCATTACAGGTTCATTTCAACAACTCTTCTGATACAGTGTGCTTATGCATTTTGGATTTTATTCACCATTCATTTGGCGCATAATAACCTTCAAGGTTTTGTGCCATTAAAAGTCAACCAACCAAAGCTGCACACTATATCAATAAACTACACTGCGGTGAATTAGAATATTTACATTAAGAAGTACAAGTTAATTTCGTTTTCATTAATGGCTCCCACGAGCCTTCCCTATGACCTCTTTGTCAGTCTCTTTCTTGGAAACTAAACTTTTGGCGCCTCTGTGACTGAGTTAATGCCTTCTATACATCTTGTTGGTTGGCTTCACCCATATATCACAGCCATGATCGCCAATTTTGGTAATTCTTCGTCACTAAACAAGTATTATATTACGCATAGAGTCTGGCAATTTCTCTAACCATAACGTTTTAATTAAATTTTCGGACACATCCAATGTTGCAACAGATTTTAATTTTTGTAATAATTGACAGGGTTTCAAGTTGCCTTAATCTTATTCCTGTAAGAAGTTTTTTCAATTCTAGTACTTTCACTTTTCCTTAAATAAATCCAGAAGCCTTGTTTTGGAATTCTGTATGTTTAGTAGCGAAAGTTACTTATTACGAATATCACAGGATGTTCTCAACATATTTTGGTTCTAATTGTAATACTAAGTAGTTAAATTTCGCTTCTTCCGAAACAATTCCATTTATCTTAAACTGAGCCTCAACTTGGAGGGGGGGAAACGATTTTGGGGTGATCCAACCAAAATGGAGGAATTTTGACACTTACCTTACATAGTTCGTGTGCAAGATCTTTGACAGTTTTATCGTCTTCAGACATATACACTTAGAAATCAAAATTCCAAGTCACCAGTTATTGGCTCTTAACTCCAAATTAATCTTTATAATTAGAACTTCATTTCTTCAAAAAAAAATGTTAATCCACATTTTAAATCAAAAATAATCTTTATTAAAGCTTTTACCACCGTAAACAACTCTTTAGAACAATAACATCAATAATCTTTTGTTGCCATTCCAAAAACAACAAAATTGAATAATCTTTTTATTGCCGTTCCAAAAACAAATAAAAGGATATTAATCATTATTTAAGGTTTCTGTATAAGTTCAAGCCACAACATAATAGTTTCCTGTTTTAAGTTATCTCTCGGGTATGTAACCAACCTCGAAGATTGAACTTTCCTTCATACATTATTTCTCGAGATTTTTCAATGGACTGGATCGTCTCGGATTCATTATCAAAACTGGCAACAACGTTTTGTATGTGAAAGCTATGCAAGAGTTTAGCTACGGTCTCTGTATTCTATTGAGAATTTTTTATGTACTTTTGTAGATGGAATTCTATAACAGCTGCCAAAAGGACAGGTCTACTCATAACTCCTACCTTAGTATGATGAAATATTTCCCACCTCATTCCACCAAAAAATCCAATCCCTATCTTTAGGCTTTACACTGATCTGTAAGAAACCCTTCTTAATGTCTGCTATGGTAGCAAACGTGCCTTCACGAAATTTCAACAGAAGAGAAGGAATTAGTTCTATCAAATTCGGAGCACACTCCAAACACTGATTTAAAGAGGGAAATGTTTGTTTCTTCGCAGACGCGTCAAAAACCAGTCAAATTGGCGTTGAGCTATTTTTCTTTGATCACCGGTCCTATGCGGCAAATAGTGTCCATGGTCAGCAGCTACATTTTCTTTAACTTCTTCGATCACCCCTAAATTACACCAATCGTTAAAAACTGCATTGGATGAGGAAAATAAATTTTGCGGTAGAAGTTTCTGGTTGGTAGACTGTAAATGCTTCAAAGCTAAATCCTTGTGAGAGGGGAGTGGTAGATGATTCTCTGCCCACGGAAGTGCGACTTCGTAACGCCCCTCTTTGTTAAGAGATACAGAATTTTGGAACTGCGATTTTGCTTCCAAATCCCTTTCCTCTCTCGTCTTCTTTGTAACTGGGTCTGTTATTCTGATAACAGCAAGTCTCCACAGTTCTGAGAGCGTGGCATCATTAACAAGCAAATTTGTCACTATCATTGCAGAATTAGCATCAGTATCTAAAAATATAAGGTATCTTTAAAGTCCATCCTAACAGTGTTCCGATAGCCACTAGTCCGCAAGACAAATGTATTATTTTTCCATTAAAGAGTTTATCTGCTACGTCAGCCTCTATTGACAGATCAATTTCTAAAGCTTTATCTTTCCCAAGGATTAATTCATCTGTCATAACAATACCATTATCAGAAAGTTTTTTTTTTAACAAATGGTTCTGGTCTTGGAATAGGAATTTTAGAACAAATTTCTTGTTGGTCCAGGACTTCAAAATTGCAGTGGTAATCATTTACACTACTTAAGTATACCCATTATTGAAAATGCTTCTTAGAATGTTCTTTACCATCAAATAATTTCTGGTACTGCGTTTTCCTTATGACATGTTTATTCAAATAATATCATTGGGAGCCTGTATCGATGAGTGCACGAATTATTTTTCTTCCATTTGTACCATTTCCACGAATTACTTTTCCATTTGTACCTCATAATCTCACATACAACATCTGTAAAAGGACTTTACGTGTACATGTTCTATTACTTAATACTTTTATTACATTTTGTTTTACTTCCAAAGTATTTTCCCTTTGTTCATTACATTCCTTCAATTTTTCTTCATTGCACATATTTCTGCAATGTCTGCCTCAGCAGTTTTCGCAAATAATTTTAGACATGCAGTCTCACGTCCTATGCCCGATTCTACAGCATACAAAATAAAATGATTTCTTCGATAATAATTTTTCTTATCATCTAGTTGCATTTTTAACGCAGCTTTACATGCTCATAAATCATTACCCTTTCCGTAAAAAAAGCAGACAGTTAATTTATTTTTCACAGTGTCTGTGATGTCGAAAACTCCAATGGTAGTATGAATGTTTTGTGTTTCATTAGCAGATGGGGGGAGTGTAGAATGTTTTACCTTACTTTCGAAACCAAACCTTGCTTTACCAACGATATTCTCTCTTCCTCTAGTTTGGATTTTAGAAAGTTCATTAAGGCAGTAAGTTTATTTGATGATTTACTAGTTTCAAATAAGCCTATGCTTCTTTCACATGCTCTAATAACATCTTTCGGCAAACAAGATTCAACGAGAGAGTGTAGCATATGTTCTTCTTTGTCAGACGTGACGTGTAATGTCTTCAGTGCTCTCAAATGAGTTTCAATTTTATTGTACTGCTTCACAAATCATGTTGCTTTGTTTTGGCTCAATGAATTATTCAAAATTAAGCTCAACATTTCTCTTACATATATTTCTATGACAAGATCTTCCTTGCCGAATCGAGCTTGAAGACATTATATTATTTGGTAATAATCATCAGCCGATGGGGGAAAGAATCAGCGATATCTCTTGCACGTGATCCTTCAACAGTGGCTTGAAATAAATATTGAAATTTATCATAAGGTGGAATTTCTGGATCATTGAAAATTTTCTTAAATTGACCCCAGAAACCCAACCATTCCTTAAGATCATCACTGAATTTTTTAAATTCGATTTTTGGAAGTTTAAACATCCGGTTTTTAACTGTAGTATTAAGAGTGCTATTATTCCATGAATTAGTATTACTCGATATTTTCCGAACCTTAGTTTTTCCAATATGAAAATTCTCTTAATTTATTTCACCAGTGTACTTCAAATTACTAAGAACATTATCACAAGACAATGTAAAAAGCCTCAAATCCATAAGCTCATATAGTGATCTCTCAGTACTCTGAACTAACTCAACTTCAGTTTTGCCCTATCTTGTGTAGTTTTCCCCCGGCTGCCAAGAAATTTCCAGTATCTTCAATATCTCGAAATCGCAGGAAAGCATACAGTTACAGTTACATAGAGATTGGATCAAAATATTGCCAGGTTTGTTAACTTTTGGCAGTTGCAAAATCTGGAGATAAAAATTAATCATCAAAACTGTCGCCAGCTTGGCCTTTTTGTCTCCAATTTGGCAAAATAGCCATTTGCCTGAATGATAAATGGACTTCTGCTGCAGTCTTATTTTTCTGGCGATGTTTAGTATTTGTGTGACCTTTCATGTTACGTTATAGAAGAGACACTACAATTTACATATAATTTAAATAAAATTATTTATAAATATATACAAAATTTGTAACAATATTGTTGTTTATTTATGTTTTTCGTCATTTTTAATGAAACTTGTATTAAGAGAGACTACTGTACATTATTTTCTACTTACTGATTTGTTACTTTATTTATGCCTCCATTTTCTTGATTCATGTTTTGGAATTCATAAGATATTTTACTTTCTGCTTATTTATTTGAAATTGAATATTATAGTTTGGAGAACCATTTGTATCTCTTTAAATTTTTTATTGCGTTAGGTACATGTTCCTTTCGATCAGAAACAGGTTCTGCATTCATTCAAGAGCTATGCAGATGTCTGGAGGAATACAGCAGCAAAATGCCTTTCCATCGCATATTAACTCTAGTTTCTTATTATCTTGCCTATTATTTTGAAAGTCGCACTAACGACAAAAAAAGTTCTAATAAAAAGCAAATGCCATATATTTCTTCTAGATTAACTGAAATAATATCTTTTGGAAGAAAAATGTGAGTATTGAATATTTTATTTATAAAATGCATTCATTATGAGAATGCTTAAATTTATAACGTTTACTATTTTATTTTGCTGTATAAAATTATGTTTACATATGTAATGTTGAATTATTGAAGTATGAGCTACATAAAAGTAAAAATTGCAAGATTAAAAAAAAGGGAGAATAAAGTGTAAAATGAATTTTGCAAAGAAAAGACACATATATTGAAATAATTATGTGAAGAAAAGTGCATTGTGGCTGGCATGAGTGGCAGGTGCCATAACGGTCAGTACAGTTCGCTCTATCAGTCCTCTGTGAAAAATCATGGTGGACACTCGTGTACAGATCGCATGTCTGATGGTTGATAGCAATGAATCAGGCGCTGTGGTAGCTGATTTGACAATCGCTCTGTACTCCTAATCTTCTGTGGCCGTAGGTTGGCTGCTACCATCATAACACTGAAATCTGCCATTGTACACCCATTCTGGCCAGCATCTTCTAATTGCTGCATCGCTTCGACTCAAATGACGAGCAATTCTCTGATTTGCACAACCTGCCTCTTTCAGTCCAATGATATGACCTCTTTCAAACTTTGACGGTTGCTCATAATGAGCTCGAATCCTGTGGCGAGGCATTTTTTCAGTTGCTGAAAGGTATCTTAACTCGCAATGCAACAGAAATTTTTAACAACAGTTTAAGAACAGCTCCTTATATACATCTGCTAGATATGCAGTTCCGATGCGCTGGAGATTCATTCATTGGACACCAAATTTTAATCATTTGCATATTTGGTCCAAACATTTATACATATGAAATTTCAAAGCAATCAGATGATTCCTTCTTGATGCGTCAATTTTTTTTGTTATAGAGTGTATTTGCAGCAACATTCTGCATTCTTAGCTCCTTTGTTTGGACCTATAGGTTTGGAAGGTTCTCCATCAGCTATCCACATCTTGCATGTTCTGACCCAGTGTATTCTGTTGTAGCAATAATTGCACTTGCCATTGTTTTTCTTGTTAGGCGCTGGTTTCTGCTTAAATTTTGAATTTGCCGTAAATGCTTTCTGATTAATAGTTTCTACAAAATTTGGATCTTTCCTTAATTCTCTTTTATGGATACACAATTCTGTGATTAATTTGTCCAGCTAATAATAAAGCTAAGATTAAAGATTGTAATAATTTTGAAACTATGATTTTGTAATAATTTTGAAACTATGATTTGAACTAGTTATCTTTAATAAATATATATTCACACAGTTAACTAATTAATATACAGTTCTCTTTTCATTAATAGAAGTAACCAACTAGATTTCAAATTATAACTGGGAGGAAGAGTATCTCAAATTTTACAAATTAACAGTATTTCTGAGAGCGATCATCGTTTGATCAAGTATCCGAGTTCAACAGAGGAAGGATAGTGGCCTTCCAATAGTGTGGATTATCGTTCAAGGAAATCGGTAGTCGTGTTGGACGAAACCAAAGAACTGGAATGCGGTTATGTGACCGTTGGATGCAGGAGGGTACAATGGACCAACGTGTTCGATCGCATCCACCTCAGTGTACCATTTCACATGATGATAGGAACATTGTTCGCATGGCAGTGACGGATCGCTCGGTCACATCATGAACCATAGCACAGCACATTCAGTCTGTAACGCATCATCCAAAGTCTGCGCGTACCATTCGACGCCGTTTACAGCAGAGTGGTCTGTCCGCAAGACGTCCATTGCTTCGTCTACCCTAGATGCAGAACCAAAGACGTCTCCGCCGCCAATGGTGCGATAAAAGAAGGATGTGGACGGAATGGAAGGAAATTGTCTTTACTGACGAGTCACGCTTCTGTCTGCAACACCACGATGGTTGGATTCGAGTCTGGAGACACCGTGGAGAGAGGATGCTGAACAGCTGCATTATGCACAGTCACACTGGTCCTGCACTGGGTATTATGGTATGGGGCGGTATTGGATATCACTTTCGCACTCCTCTAGTACGCATTGCCGGTACTTTAAACAGCCAGCGCTACATCTCTGAAATGTTGGAGCCAGTTGTCCTTCCTTACCTTCAGGACTTGCAAACAGTCATATTTCAACAGGACAATGCGCAACCACACTTGGCACGCATTGTCCAAGGGTTCTTCATCAATCATCGGATTGAATTGCTTCCCTGGCCGGCTCGCTGTCCAGATCTTTCACCGATAGAAAACATTCTGCCATTGGCAACGTGTGCAAGCTGCTTGATCTGCTGTACCCCAAGAACACACCCAAGTCTCTTTGAATCAATGGCAGCAGTGATATTCAACAATGGCAGCTATTCTGGCTACTGATTCTGGAAGGAACCACACTTCACAGAAGTCTATAAATTTAATCATTTGATACTTTGTCAACATGTTATCTACTAAATAAATTTTGTTGTGATATCTCTTGTCTTTCTTGGTGTTGCAATTTGGGTGGCCAGCAGTGTATATAGAAATATTTTTTAACAATATGATAATGTTCTGTAGATGTAATTTAGTTGCTATTTTACACAGGGATGTAATAACTAATATACATGCTCATAAAATATGGCGTCACTTTATCCTTTCTGTCATTCCTGTTTATCCTTTTCAAGGTATAATGATAAAATATTTATGTATCTGTCATTACTGTATTGTTAAAATAGATGTTAAAATATCTACTATTTGTGTGTCATTTCTATCAAAATATGTGAAGTATCTTTTTCTATGTAATTAAATTATTATTTTAATCAAATGAATGAATTTTGTTTTAAATATTTGTTGGTTAAGAGAAATACAAGCAGTGTTTAAAGTTTGCTGAAATTAATTTCAATAATGAACTGTATATGTCTTTATAATTGATAAAATTTGTTTATGCCTTCTAAACTTCTGTAAGAGTGATTTAATAGCAATTTTATAATCACATTAATTTTTAATGAAACGAAACACAACTTTATCTTATTTTTATAAAATGTGCTATCATCTGTGAAAAAAATATAGGTAGTTTGTTTTTGATTTCAACTGAAAATTTCTTTATTTTTAATTTCAACAAATTATCCTAGCATTCTAAAAGAACAATGAATGATCACTGCAGTTTTTAAATATTGAAGAAAATGTTAATTTGGTATTCAAAATGTGCTGCATCTTATCTATTGAAATCAGTGCTCTATAAAGTGAAATTTGTTCACTTACCAATGTTGATATTGTGGGTCTGCCAAAGTCCTAAAACTTTTTTTTTCTTTATTTCATGAGTCCCCCTTACCAGGATCAAGAAGGAGGTGTTCCTGTTAGAGAAAACAGATCAAGGTAATAAATGTTGTTTTATATTTTTATTAGCCTGTTATTTTATTATCAATATTAACTTCATTATTTTGTTTCATAAAAATTCAAATACATAATGACTAAAATCTTCAATATTTATAATCCAATTTCTTTTTCTTGACTGATTAAGTTTCTGAAATTTTTATGGTAGTGAGCACTTATGTGATGTTTCACGGAGTATTTAATAGCATATTTATAAAGCTTCATGAAGTGTATTACATGCAAGTGATTTTTGATTTGTATGAAATTTGATATGCAGTTGTCAATTCACTGTTAACTGACTAAGTGATATGAAAGAGTTCAAGTTCCATGAATACTTAATTTTCAGTTTCCCTTTTAAAATATCTCATTTGTCTAAAATAATTTTTGCCAGTTTTAAACATATAAATGTGTAATTTTGGTAACATTATTTTGTTATACCATAAAAATAGAATTTGCAAAGTGGTAGAGGGAGTAAATCAAAGAAATATAAATATATTTCACTGTCTTTTTCCTTTTTCTTTCCTTTCTTTTTTCTTCTACCCTGCTTTTTTTATATGGAGATTCATTTTAATTTATTATTAATAAATAGAATATATTTTGTGCAAAACAGAATATTATCTATAAATATATATTTTTTTAATTTTATGTGAAAGATTTTAACTTTGTCTCTTTGTAAGACATGAAGAAATTCCAACTTTGTCTATTTATAAGACGTAAAAAAATTCCAACTTTGTCTATTTATAAGACATGAAGAAATTCCAAAAGAAAATGTCTGTCTCGTAAATGCTTCATCAGACGTCACTCTTTCATCATAAAAGTTCGCAAAAATTAGCTTATCATCTTAAACTGTTGATAATTAATTGTTAAATTTAAGTTCTATTATTATGGATAGAAAGACGTTGATAATTAATTGTTAAATTTAAGTTCTATTATTATGGATAGAAAGACTAGTAATAGCAAATTCATCCTTTAATTTCTGTCATACTTCTGATTTTATCAAAAAATAAATTCACTTAAAATGCAAAATTATCATGTTTTTCATGTGAAAATTCGCAATTAAAAATTTCTGAAGGAAGAATATGCTGCTTGATTGTGGATTAAATGATGTGTGAATATTATAGCCTTTAATTATGAATATTTTTGTTATATTGTAATTATTATTTTGTTTTTTTTATTTATTTTGCCATTTTATAATAATTATTATTATTATGTTATTTTTGTATTATTATAAATCAATTACAGTTATTGTTTGCTGGTGAACTGGAATATTCTAAAGTTCTTGGAATATGTGCATTTTAAGAAAGAACAGGAATTTAGAACTGTATATAATTATTTTGTCGGTTATAACGCTTCTTTGTTATTAGAGTTATAATTACATGTATAGAATATTTAGGCCTATTGTGTTTGATAGAATTGGTAAATGTCTTTTCTATATTTGATACAGAGTTTAGTGTTTTGTTTTTGCAAACACTAAATAAACACCTGAGGATGTTTTGTAGCTTTTTATAGAATCTGGAATTATAATAGCCTCTTAAATTTGTACAGAATAACTTCTGTATATCATGTCCATCACTATTGGGTACAAGTTCCTGTTTTCGAGTAGATGTTCTTCACTACGAGTATTTTAAGCATTGTGAAATATTACAGCCAATTCAACATTGAGCTGATTCATTTTATTTGCTGGCAAATCGGAATACAGTCAAAAGTCTTTAATCCGGATTCGTCGGGACTTTGGCGATTCCTGATTATTGATTTTTCCGGAATATAGATCATCAGTTTAAATCTGGTAAGATGGCATGCAGAAATTATACAATTAAAAATATGAAACCGTAATTTATGAAATAAAGAACAATTATGATCTAAAGGGTATCAAAATTTACAAAAAAAAAAAGCTTAATATTTATTTGTTCACTTTATTAAACATTTCTTTCAATGCGCGCATGCGTAAAGCATACATTACGCATAGTCGAAATTAGAAAATTGCAACCAGAAAACTATTTGATGTGTATTTGTGATATATATAATGAATTTGATTTAAATCATATCAGAGTACATCGAGATGAAACATTACATTTACTAATGAACTATAAGCCGAATAAAATAAAAACATCTGCCCTGAAGATAAGGATAGTGCTGACAGATCAACTTCCAGTTCATTGCCCGCCACGTTCCCCCCCACGCAGAGCAGCATGAAATTGATAAACAGATTTTGGAATGGTTAGCGAAACAAAGGATATGCCTTTATCCATTTTTTGCAGCAATTCCATTTTTTGCAACACTTTTTGTTTGATGGACATCGAAACATTCTTTCGTTTTGTAGATCCTTTGGCAGTATCCAGCATCAGAAATTCTATTTGACATGATCGAAAGTTTAAGCTTACTTTTATAAAATTGCTCTAACAGTCTGCAAAAAATAATAAGCCGAATCCAATTCAAAGATTAAGGAACAACGCAATCTGCAACATTACCTAAAATAGATAATTAGATAATTTTAGCATAGCTTATACCGTCCGTTATACATTAAACGCGCATGCATAAACGTACTATGCGCATGCGTAAAGGTATTACGCGCATGCGAAAAATATTATGCGCATGCGTGAACGCATTTTGCGCTGACGCATGCGCAGAAAATTTGTAGCTTTGAGGTCCGGATTATAGATCATTCCGGATTATGGGCGTCCGGATTAACGACTTTCGACTGTATAATTTAAATGTTGACTGTAACTTTTGACTGTATACTATAAATGTATAATGAAAAATTATTTGCAGTATTTGAAACATGTACATTTATATAGTATGATTGCTTGGTAAGTATACTAACTGTAATGAAAAATTAGATGCAAAAATCAGAAGCATTTAAAACGTGCATTGGTGTAAATGATTTGTATATAATACGTACTGAATAATTTTTGTATTTCGTGTTTATTACAATTGGGTATTGGTTCCTGTTTTTCTGTATATATTTTTAATTACTTGAAGAAACTGGGCACTATAATAGCCTTTTATAAGCATGATTAGGTATATTATATGTAATGGAATCAATTATAGCATTTATTTATTTATTTATTTTATTTTATATTATTTATTTATTTAGAAAAATTATTTGCATTTAAAAAAACATGTACATTTATAGTATAATTGATTGGTAAATGCTTTCTGTTTTTGTCTAGAGGTATTGATTGGATGTCAGTAACCGGTCTGCATGTTTCTTGTTTCGGAATAAAATCAATTAAAATTTTGAAAATTTTTTTGATGGGTTATTTGTTAATGGGAAGATTTTTCCCTTGAGGGCATTCAGTTTTAACTAATTTTCTGAATATTAATTGTCAAAATTTTATATTTTGTATTGAATGAAATGAGAGATATGATTTTAAATTTCAAATCGCTTGCATATTCTTTTATCAGATTTTTTTTTCTCTCTTTTTTGTATTTATCTATGTGAGTTTTACATTTTTGCTATTACATATACAAGGATTACAAATACAAACGTTTTTACAATATTAGGATTTATAGATAGTTGTGAGAGGTTTAATCAATTTTTGAAAAGAGGGACAGTTTTTAACATAAATGTTACATCATAATTGAGTACCTGCCTGATTGAACTAACAGAAAATTCTCGAAATGGAAGAAAATAAATCAAGAAAGGAATTATTCACATTGTTAGAAAAATAAACTGTCTTTTAATGCCCGGCTTTCTTCTGTACTTTCCATCAACATTTTCCAGTGGTGATGTAAACACAATTTTATGGATCCAAGATTTTTTTTAATTGATTTTAATTCTTACCACATGACTTGAAAGTATATGGTTTTATAATCTTTCCCCCCTTTTATACAATCTAAAGGGGGGATATGTTTTCATACATAAAAAGACATATTTTCTGAAATTTAGCCAGTACTTAAGTTTCTATGATATTCAAGTATTTGTAATGAATTTAAATTTTTTGAAGCATTTTCTTTGAGGACCAGTTGAAAAATATCCAAAATCCTTGAAAAAGAATTTGAATATTAATTCTCAAAGGAAAAGCACAACTTTCATTTCTTGCATTTGACTTGACAAATGCAGGAAATGAAAGTCTATGAATGTCTTTCCTGATAATGAACTTCAAAGTATATTTCAGACTGCATGTTAGAAAACATCTGCAGATTACTTATGGTAATTTGCTATTTTTCTTTTATAATTATTGACATAGGATATATGATATTAAATTAAGTATATTTTCAAATGAAATTTTTTTTTTATCTTTCTTAGAATATTACTTGAGGGAATTTGTATGCCTGATTATCCTCAACTTAATGAACCAATGGATTCTCTTCATTATCAAATTGAAGCTAAAAATGTTGACTTTTTATCCTTCTGTCAGGTAAAAATTTTAATATGCCTACGCCTTAACTATATACACTGAAGTGACAAAAGTCATGGTATGCCTCTAAACGTAACTAACCTAACCGCGTTCTAAGATACCGCTGATATTTCAGCAAACTTCTGAGTATTAAGTTTAAAGATTCAACTATCTGCCGAGGCAAGCACACAGGCCGAAACGCGTGGTTCTTCAATTTCTACCTAGCCACCTCCACGCTCGTGAAGCAAGAAAGCACACTATCGAACTCGTTTCCCTTCTATTTAACTCAGATTACTTCCGCTGACAATTTGAATACTTTGCGCGTTCTACTAAAATTTACATACTCTGGCATTGGCAATTCCAGGGGAAAGTAAAGCTTGACAGGAAAGATAGTTTAAACGTAAAATAAATGTTACTTAAAATAAATATAAACCCTACAAGAATGACTGCTTCTATGCTCTACGAAAATTTGTTGATATTGGACATCATTGGTACTACTCTTTTTAAGTTCTCCAAAAATGTTAAGTAGGTGAATATTCCCTTCTTGCCAGGGAGCAATACCGAAAAAGTTCTTTGGGATGCAGATCTTTTAGGTTGAATTCTTCAATCAGTGAGTGAATGCGAAGATCAAAAGGTGGGATACATGAAAGGACGTGCTTGGTAGATAGGCGCCAGTACTGATCAGATGTTATGAGTCGGACAGGATGTTCGGCTTGTGACATTATTTTATAATGAAGATCAATGGACAACTGCTTGCGTCTGAATTCCAGAGATGGTTTCAAAAGTAGATGGACATATAAACTTTGGACTCGAGATGTTCTGAAAGCCTCACAGCAAATCCGTAGCGCTTGATGGTGGACTGGATCCAATTAAAAATGTGGAAAGCTTCACGATTTTGCGTGTCATCCTTGCGCAGGGACCATGCTAATCTTCTCTGTATCGTTCCAATTTTAGTATATGTACATCCAAAGCAAGTACAGTGTGTAGCTTTGTGTGTGCAGTAAATGTTTGAAAATACAAGAAGGTGGAATTATTTTTCTATGAGGGGGAGGACGAAGAAAGGGGTGATATCACAATGGCTGATAAAATTTCAGATTTGACGCCTTTTAAAAGAAATTTGGGGTGTATCAACAGCTGGTAATTGCTCGAATACAGAACTGTTAATGAAAATTCAATTCCTCTAACAGCAAATTGCCGAAATGACTGTTCATCATACAATGAAGTGACAAAAGTCATGGGATACCTCCTAATATTTTGTCGGTCCTCCTTTTGCCCGGCGAAGTGCAGCAACTCGACGTGGCATGGACTCAACAAGTCATTGGAAGTCCCCTGCAGGAATATTGAGTCATGCTGCCTCTATAGACGTCCATAATTGTGAAAGTGTTGGCGGTGCAGGGTTTTGGGCACGAAATGACCTCTCGATGATGTCCCGTAAATGTTCGATGGGATTCATGTCGGGCGATCTAGGTGGCCAGATCATTCGCTGGAATTGTTCAGAATGTTCTTCTAACCAATCGCGAACAATTGTGGCCCGGTGACATGGCGCATTGTCATCCATAAAAATCCCATCGTTGTTTGAGTACGCGAAGTCCATGAATGGCTGTAAGTGATCTCCAAGTAGCTAAAGGTATCCATTTCCAGTCAATGATCGGTTCAGTTGCACCAGAGGACCAAGTCCATGCCATGTAAAAACAGCCCGGACCATTATGGAACCACCACCAGCTTGAACAGTGCCTTGTTAACAACTTGGGTCCATGGCATCGTGGGGTCTGCGCCACACTCGAACCCTACCATCAGCTCTTACCAACTGAAATCGTGACTCATCTGACCAAGCCACGGTTTTCCATTCGTTTAGGGACCAACCGATATGCTCACGAGAGTCGCTGCAGGCGATGTCGTGCTGTCAGTAAAGGCACTCGAGTCGGTCTTCTGCTGGCATAGCCCAAGGAAGACAAATTTCGCCGCACTGTCCTATCGGACACGTCCATCATTGAGTTCTGCGGTTATTTGAAGCAGTGTTGTTTGTCTGTGAACATTGACAACTTTACGCTGACGTCGCTGATCTCGGTCGTTAAGTGCAGGTGGTCGGTGGTGGGATGTTATGCCTGAAATTAGATACTCTCGGCACACTCTTGACACTGTAGATCTCGGAATGTTGAATTCCCTAACGATATCCGAAATTGAATGACCCATGCGTCTAGCTCCAACTACCATTCGGCGTTCAAAGTCTGTTAATTCTCGTCGTGCGGCCATAATCACGTCAAAGCCTCTTCACATGAATAACTTGAACACAAATGAAAGCCCTGCCAAAGCACTTCGCATTTATACATTTTCTACGCGATACTACTGCCATCTGTATATTTGCATATTGCTATCGCATGACTTTTGTCATTTCAGTGTATATTAATACCAAGTTTCATTAAACTCTGTCAATTAGTTTCACAGAAATTCGACATAATGACTCTTAATTGTGTACATGAGTGTATTTGCTTTTAAATTTTATTGACAAACTTGTCAATTTAAAAGAAATGTGCTGCCTGAAATAAGATATTTTTATCTTCCACTTGCCATTGTTTTGCCATTCAGCAAAGTGTAATAAAATTTAATTTTCCTTTTAAATGTAATGTATTTGTTATTAAGAAAAGTAATGATATGAAAGAAATAAATGCAATTTTTCATCTCTATTGCTATTAATTACTAGCTGGGCTAACTAAAATCCGTATATATATCTTCTCTTTATATTTTTGGCTAGTTGTAGTAAATGAGAGAGAACAAAAAAGCTGCAAGAGTGAAGGCAATTTAGAAAATAATATGGTTTCAATAGCTGAGATACCATATTATTAAGTTATAATGTATGCTCAGGTTTTGAGAGATATCCTGTTACCCCAGAATTCATGAAAGATTTTGTAGCGATTTATTTCTATTACTTGCATTTAGTTGCATTGTCTCAAAACAAAATGAAGATCATGGGAAGATACTATAGAGAATATCTGAGCTGCTGTATTTCAGCTATATTATGGAGTCCTTCCTTGAACTTAGAAACTTGCAGCATTATTTTTTAAATTTTTTTTTCCTGCTTCTCCAAACCACAGATACTCAGTCAATGAATATTGAGCACAACTGTATGCACTTATTTACAATTTATATTTCAGAAATTTATTTTATCATCTCCCTGAGCACTCTTAATCAAAACTGTGATAGAGCACAATAAAGTAGCTTTCATGTGCTTTGCTAGATCAAATAAGCCAATGTTATTTATGTATGCTTTTGTAGTTTCAGGATGATGATCCTCAGTCGTTATCATGTGCTACAGCAAAATTGACAGTTCACATGATGGAATTTGGGTACAGATGTCCAAAATATGGATTGAAACCAGATTTGCTAAGTGCCTTAAATAAATGTAAAATTCATTATGTTTCCCTATGTTTGTTCTATAAAGATGCATTTTAATTATTTTAAAAATTATTTTATTTTTCTGATCCAGCAACTTGGCAATTCCAGATATTTTTTTAGTAATTTTTTTCCCCTTTTAAGATTTTTGAAAGTTTTTCAATTAAAAAAAATGTTTAGTATGTTTTAAAAATGTTAATTATGCTCATTTATTTCTTTTTGAAAAATATTGACTGTATTAAAGCATAAAATTGTTCATTACATTTTAAAGACTTTATTTTAGGCTCTTCTAAATTTTAAGTAGGTTTAGCACCAATCTCTAACCATCTGAACTGAACCTCTTCCGAACTTTCCACATATTTTTTCCCCTTCTACTCAATATTACAAATAAATATAATACTTACCATATGTTGTCTACTCATAGTTATGAATAAACTTAATAGCCAGTAAGTATAGAACCAGTGTTAAAATTCAGCTGCAGTAAAACAAATAAATGTAAAATTTTGCTCTCCTTCCTGTTAGGTTATTATAAAAATAATACCAGAGAGTTTGTTTTAAAAATTACTGAAATACTTTATTCATACATGTAACATTTTAGTACTTTTTCATCTGTGAGAATTCTCAAAACGAAGTAGCTATGTTAAAATTTGAGCAGTGCAATTCAGCCACTTATGTAATTTTAGGTTTATTCATGTCTGTGAACCATTTTAAAAGTTTATAACAAATAAACAAAGCAGCTGATACAAAATGATTTTTCATATGATTGAAACAGAGATAAACTTTTAAAAATACATTGCTCGACATTGAAAATGCAACACCAAGAAGGAGTGGTCAGAAATTTATGCAAATTTTAGAGTAGACGCACGTCACTGAGTTATGCGAATGATGTGAAATGCGCAGCTCTCCGACGCACGTGAAGTCAGATATAAGGGAAGAAATGTGCAGAATGGGCAATACTCGTGTCGTTATTTCTGCCAGACGAATTATCAAAGAAAGTTGGTTTTTGTCTTGGAGTATACGTGTAATAAAAGAGCATGCCAGGCCGCCGTCAATGAAAGCACTTCCAGCAGATAGACGATTTTACGAGGGGTATGGCGATCGGGCTGAGAAGGGCGGGTTGGTCCTTACGTCAAATCGCAGCTGATACCCACATGGATGCGAGCACTGTGCATCAGGTATGGCGAACGTTTTTGGAATGTGGGAAGAAGGAGGCATGTAGGTGCAGTCAGAGTGACGTCAGCACACATGGATCGACGCATCCTCCGACAAGCTGTGGCGGTCCCGCAAGTCACTTGTACCGCGATTCTTCAGCATGTGCAAGATACCCTGGATGTTCCCGTGTCGACCAGAACCATTTCCCGTCGATTGGTTGAATGTGGCCTGCATTCACGTCGTCCGTTAAGAAGACTGCCATTGACCCCACAGTATAGACGCCAACGTTTAGAATGGTGGCGGACTGGAGAGATGTGTGGATGACAGAATGGTGAAACGTCGTGTTCTCAGATGAGTCACACTTATGTTTATCCAGTGATAGTCGCTGCATACATGTGTGGCGTCGACGTGGAGACAGATGTAATCCGGCAGTAACTGTGGAGTGCCCCCACCGTGCGACAACGTGGCATAATGGTTTGGGGCGCTATTTCCTACGATTCCAGGTCACCTCTAGTTCGTATTCAGGGCACTATGATGGCCCAACGATACTTGGATAATGTACTGCAGCCGGTGGAAATCCCCTACCTTCAGGGGCTGCCTAATGCAATTTTTCAGCAGGATAACCCCCGACCACACAGTGCTCGCATCTGCCAACATGCTCTGCAAGGTATACAGATGCTTCCCTGGCCACCGTATTCTCCTTACCTGTCACCAATCGAACAAGTGTGGGATGTGATTGGACGCCGCTTGCAGACTCTGCCCCTGCCTCGTTCAGAAGATGAACTGTGGCAAATGGTTGAAAGGAAATGGAGAGCCATCTGTCAGGACACCATCCGCACTCTTATTGACTCTATGCCTAGACGTGTTTCTTCGTGCATCGCTGTCCGCTGTGGTCCTACATCCTACTGAGCCGACGCCGTTCTCGCTCTGTATTCTGACTATCATTTTGAAATAAAGATCACTTATTGCTGCTTGCTGTCTCTGTCGTTTTTCCAAATTCATCACTTTCTGACCATTCCTTCTTGGTGTTGCATTTTCAATGTCGAGCAGTGTATATGTGTTACACAAACACTCCAGCATTTCCATCTTTGTTTGTATGACAGACATTTCTGTAACATTAGGAGAATTTACTTTCACATATTGGAAAGCTGATTGTGACAGCTGAATAAAAAGTGATGATTACCTCTTTCAAAAAGATACTTGTGTTGACTATTATTGAGACCATTTGGGAGAGTATCCCAATCAGAATTTTCCTCAGAGATAGAAAAAACTATTTACTAGAGTATCTCAATCAAAATTGCATATTAAGAAGTGAAGAATTTAGAAGATAAGGAGGTGGCCATCCTATCTTTAGACTTAATACTCTGTGCCATTTTCATCTGAAGGTTTGCCAAAAATATTGTCTTCGACCTTTTATCCCTGTTATTTTCTTTACATCTGTGCATCATTCTAGCTGAGGTTGATAATGGTAAATTCTGTGTGACAAACATTTTAACACATAGATAAGTAAAGGTGGATATTGTAATACTCCTGCTTACATGAACTAAAAATTGCACTGTTCTTTATTTTATTTTATTGTTTTATATTTGTAATTAATTTTTATTTGAAATTATCAGTAGCAGTTCAGAAAATGTTGAGGAACAAAATATTACTCTGTCAGTATTTTAGAGCTAACTTTCAAGACATATTATGCATCAAATCATAATTATTATATGCTAAAAGCTCTAAAACTTCGCACACCTTTTCAGAAACTGCAGTTAAGTGATTGGATTTCAGAAACTTCAGCTATTTAAATGAATTCACAAGCAATGCAGTTATTCTACATTTATGTACACAGCATTCTTACCTATTTTTTTTTGGGGGGGGGAGCCTTTGTGGTACAGAAAAAGCTAAGGACAGTCAATTTATCTTGCTTTATAATACAGGAATATTCAAAGTTCTGTTGAACAGAAATATGTTCTAAGAAAATATAGCAAAAGCATGAATAAGTCTATAGAAGATGTAAATTGCCAAAATTGGACATAATAAGTCAGGAATGTACCATCTAAAAACAGGATTTTAAGACTATTGCTGAGTATTATATTTATAATGAAATATTAAAGGTTTTTTTACTATATTAACCTTAAATTTATGTATTGTTTTATCTATTTTTATTATTGCTGCAAAAAAATGAAGTATTTCTTAAATTTTGCTGCAAAACTGTTATACTTTTCTGTAAAAATAAAAATAATAAATATAAATGATTATTTATGATAATGCCAAATGGCATCAGCAATTTTTGAAACAAAATTTACATTTAGTGCTGGGATATAATAAAACTAGAAACCCCGGCAGTCATACGAAATGACCGCTGTTTTAGATATTATAAATTGTAATTAAAATGATTTGTGAAAAAGTGTCTGTTAATTTAAACTGAATTACCCAGGGTAGGCAGCGAGAATGCTCCTTTGCTGACTGCCCACGGGGTTTCCTCCTTCTACTTGCTTAATTGCTTAAAGAAGAGTACAATGAAGGAAATCACTGACGGTACATTTCTTAAGAGCCCACCGCTAGCTCAATTAATAAAGGTGATTTAGATAATTAAATGTTAATTCACATGTCAAAGATTTCTTTGTACACAACATTTCTTGTGTAGATCTTTCCATCATTTTTAAGCTCGCCTTGCAGAGGACCATACAATACTTTTACTTTTACGTCCGTTCTTTCACAAACTCTTGAACAGGCAACATAAAGTTGACCGTGTCCAAATGCAGGCTCATGTAAAAAAATGCCAACACACTTAAGCGTTTAACCCTGAGACTTATTGATGGTTATAGCAAAGGTAAGTTTTACAGGAAATTGTCTATGTCTCAATTGAAACAGCAACCCTGTGGCATGGCAACTTCACCCCATTGGCTAGTACAGCTACGCAAGCAACCAATAAACTATCGGGGACGAACAGACACTTAAGCCGCATATATATATGGGGGGACGTAACATCATCTCCTTCGAAACGGATGGCTCCCGGGCTTAGTGTAGCACACCGTTGGATTCCGCATGTCCATGGCATGCCATTTTGACCATTCGTGTCTTCTTGGGATTTTAATTAGCCGAGATATTAAATAAAAACTAATTTTGCCCTATGTTTTCCCTACATTTTCCACTTTCTTTCTTGGGTTTTCCCTATTAGAGTGATTTGGCTACGTGCCAAATTCTTTTTTCTCGAATATCTACGGAACGGCGCCGAGTTGAAATTCAAGACGCGTATCCCCGGATTCGGAAAAATTCTCCGAATCCATCGATACTGTTCTCATCTTCGTACGACTTTAATTGGTTGAGATATTAATTAAAAACTGCAGAAACGTTAATTTCCGCACTCATTTTTCCGAGTGGCAACAATAAGCTCTCGGCGACACACACTTTAGCCACTTATATATATAAAGGAGATATACTTTTTCAGAGCATTTTTAGAAAAAAATTAATGAAAATTAATATGCTTTTACTAATAAAAAAAACAAATGTCACTATTAAAATATTGCAATAACACAAAAATAATAAAACATAATTTTTTTATACTGTCATTTAATAGTAACTTGTTTATGAGTGAAAATTTCTGTGATCGTATTTCTCATAGCAAAAAGATAAAATTTATTTTAAAGTCTGTTAAATTTAAAACTGTCTTTTGCAAGTCTAACTTAGAAGTTAGACTTAGGTTTAGTTGTTACAGATTCATTCAGTTTACTGTAGCCAATTCCCTATAAGTACTATATGAATAACATAAAGTATTGATTGGTCATATTTTGATATTGTTCGATTTAGTTTGGTTTCAATCCCAGGTGAAACCCAGGCTGGCTGCATGGTTGGTTTTCATGGTTTTGCCATGTGTAATGTGAATATGAGCCAGTTTTTTTCCAGGAAGTCCTCCATGAGGACATCCCTTCTCTTAGGCAGATAGCATTCATGGCTTTGCCATATTTAAACAACCCACTCAATTATCTGTACTGAAAAAATTTAATTTCATGAGTAAAGCTTTGAATAATGATAAGTGAAAAATTTCTGAATATGGTAATAATTATTATCTAAAACATATTTTTCAATCTTATATCAAGACCGTGAAGATCGTCTGAACTCTAAGGAGGATACTGACTGCTTGATCTGTTTGGTTTCAACACCTTGCAAAAAGAACTGTTTATATGACGGGAATCAAAAAGTTTTCAAAGAAAGCATTTGGCAGGCTTTTTCTGGAAAATATTGTGACTTCCTTGCCAGTAGACCGAAGATTTTTATATTTTTGGTAAGTTTTTTACAGTTTCTTAAAACGCCTCTTCTTAAAATGTTGAGACCAACCAACAGCTCTCAACAGTGGTAGTTCAGCCTCTATTCAAATTCTTGCAAACAGGCTAATAATATATGAGTTTTCATGGTTCTTTCAATGTGTAGCATGGTTTCCCTCAGAACCAGTTTCCCTTAGAATTCCCTTAGCATTCTTTCATTTTGGCAGAAACCCTCAGCAGGGCCGTTCCTAGCCCATTGGCTGCCTGCGTACTTTCCTAAGATTGCTGCCTCCAAATTAAAAAAAAAAAAGTGCTCAATGATTAATAAAATTTTTATTTCATACTCATTAAGTATTTACATATGACAAGTACTTACAATGAATTTAAAATATTTAGTCGTGGTATTGCAAAAGTTTGTCCGCCCCTGATTTTCTCCGCCCTTGTACTTTTATGCACTTTCCCACTAGGAACGACCCTGACCCTTAGTATACTTAACCATAGTTAAATAATCCAATCAATTTCAATGTGAGCTAATGAAATGCTGATACATCTGTAAGTCACTAAGTGCCCTTTTCGCTCTTTATACTTGCATATGGAAGGAGCATATTTTTCTCAATACATGTCAGAGAGCTTTGTTATTCCTATACTAAGCCAGAGAAAGACCTGAAGAATCCCTCCACCTGTTGGCCCATTGCATTTAACGAGTTGCATATGCAAGCTGTTTGAAAAGATGGTAAATAGCCATCTACTCAGTTTCGTGGAATATAATATCATAATGCCTTATCAGAGCAGTTTTCATAAAGAAAGAATGACCATGGATATATCCATTCATGAATAAAGGAAGAATGACCATGGATACATCTTTGGAAACATCCATTTGTAAAGCCTTTTAGAGGGGAAAAAAAAAACATCTTTTCTCTGTCTGTTTGACAACGGAAAAACTTATGATAAGGCATGGAGATATGGAATACACTCTGATCTTCATGCCAATGGCTTGCATGGCAACTTCCCTATTTCCATTAAAAATTTTTGAAGGCAAGGACTTTTCATGTCACTTTTGGCTCTGTTTTATCAGTTATCTTTGTACAAAAAGAATATATGCCTCAAGGGGGGAGGATCACTTTGTTCAATTTAAAAATAAACATTAAATTTAAAGGAATTTCCACCCACTGTTTTAGGATCTTTGCACATTGATGACCTGCAAAGTAGATGTCATGGGGCAGATATGAGACATGTAGAGAGAGGCACTTACAGATCACTCTGAACAGCATCCAGGAATAGTAAGACAAACAAGAAGTTACCTTTTCAAAACAGAAGACTGTGTGCACTTTTGTAGAAAGCGAGCTTTCCATCCTGAGCCTGAATTACATCTTCAGGGATCAGTGATTCCAGTTGAACCTGAAGTAAAGTATTTTGGGTAAACGTTTGACCGAAACCTGGCCTATCGTTCTCAGACCCTCTACCTGAAGAAGAAGTGTACCAGAAATTAAATCTTTTAAAAACGTCCTGGCGAATGGCTCATGGGATGCTTCTCACTTTGCATTTGTAGAGAGTTTGTCCACTCTAGACTGGCCTATGGCTCAGTTGTCTGTGGATCTGCACGGCCTTTAATTTTCTTGAAATTGGATCCAGTACATCATTAGGCACTGCAAATTTGTTCCAAAGAATTCAGTGTCCAGAGCCTTTATGTTGATTGTTTTTAACCATCACTCCAGCTAAGGAATGAGCAATTGCCTCTTCTTCATTATTTTAATACATTATGCTGTGTTTGCTTGATGATATGTGTGACCGGCTAGTTGAAGTACAATCATCTCGTATGCTTCTTTTTCTTTAAGAGTTCACTTTTTGATTGAAGAACACTTTGTCTGGTGCGTCCACCCAAGCAGTACAGCATTTTGAAATTCTGCCATGGGACTAGGCTAAATCCAAATTCTTGATGTTTTCTACCACTGCAATAAGAGAAACACTGAAGCTACATTCAGACGGGGGTGTAAAGGGCATAAGTGGTTAAAGCCGAACTCTGTTGCCAAGGCAACCAGTCTGTGCTACGTCACGAAATCTGGTTTAGGGCTCGTGGCATAGGGTTCAAAGTTTTCAACTTTATGCTGAGTTTGAGATAAGCGTCGACCAATCAGAGCGAAGCTAAAACAAAGCGGCTTTCTGCAGAAGATTTCGCTGTCACAAAACAAGCAGAGCGAACGTGGGAAATCAATCGCGCAGGAGAACAGCATGGGAAATTTGTAGACACATCCACAGATGCGCAAAAATAGCAAAATTAGCTCATTGGCCACGGTTTACACCCCATTCTCGCAGGTGTGAATGGAACTTTCGTATTTTATGCCCTTATGACTATGCCTCTATGCCCTTTACGCTGCCGTCTGAACGCAGCCTAATGAGATCATATACAAACAACTTTTCCTTGAACACCAGGCGTAAATATAGAAGCCATGTTCCCGTGTATACAGATGATCAAAAATAACTACAGTCAAAAGTCGTTAATCCGGACTCGTCGGGACTTCGGCGATTCCGGATTATCGATTTTTCCGGATTATAGATCATCAGTTTAAATCTGGTAAAATGGCATGCAGAAATTATAAATTAAAAATATGAAACCGTAATTTACGAAATAAAGAACAATTATGATCTAAAGGGTATCAAAATTTACAAAAAAAAAAAGCTTAATATTTATTTGTTTACTTTATTAAATATTTCTTTCAAGTTGTTTAAGTTGCTTCGTTTTTTATGTGATAATACATTCTCTTTAATTCCATAAACAGACATAATTTCTTGTTCAGTTACAAAGTTCCGCTGTTTGCTATAATTGCTGTGTCGAGAATACCGACTAATTTGTCAATCGAAATTTTTTCGTTTTCAATAACCTCTGTCACTTTCTTCGCTATTGGAAGCGAATTATAATGACGAGGCATTTGATTTAAATCATATCAAAGCCGGAGTACATCGAGAGGAAATACCACATTTAGTAAGCAATTATGAGCCAAATAAAATAAAAACATCTGCCCTTAAGATAAGGATAGTGTTGACAGATCAACTTCCAATTCCGCAGCGTGAAATTGATAAACAGATTTCGGATTTCAAAACAACTTTCGTTGTAGATACAAACGTTACAGTTTAGTAAAATAAGGAAATTCTATGCATAATCTTTATCCAAATCTAATATGACGTTTCCCCCCCCCCACACACCGCAGAGCAGCGTGAAATTGATAAACAGATTTCGGATTTCAAAACATATCCTTTCAGCTTTTTGTAGTAAATATATATATCGGAAATTCAGAAATTATTTGACATAATCGAAAGTTCAAGCTTACTTTATAAAATTGCTCTAACAGTCTGCAAAAAATAATGCGGATCCAATTCGAAGATTAAGGAACAACGCAATCTGCAACATTAACTGAATTAGATAATTTTAGCTTAGCTTATCCCGTCCGTTATACATTAAACGCGCATTGCGCACAAACGTATTTTGGGCAGCGCAAGGGTCAAATTGCGCAGCCGTAAACGCCTGTGCGCATGCGTCAACACGACGCATGCGCAGAAAGTTTGTAGCTTTGAGGTCCGGATTATAGATCATTCCGGATTATGGGTGTCCGAATTAACGACTTTTGACTGTAGTCATGTTAGGAAAGCATTTGTTATATGGCCGTAGGGAAAGTAGATATATGTACTACGCTTGCTCATTCTTGATGTCTGAACTAACTGCTCTATATTATGCAATTTTATTCATTTTGAAGCTATATCAGAGAAAGTTCACAATTTATAGAGACTCATATAGTTTGTTGAAAGCTTTTGAAATTTTTCCCAACACTTGCAATCCTGTAGTTGTTGAAGTTCTAAGGCTAAATTTAAACTTAAGATATGTGACTACCAAATTCTATACTGCTGGGTTCCTGGTCATGTTGAGATCAAGGGAAATGACCTGCCATACATCACAGCTAAACCTGCTGTCGATTTGTCAGCCCATTTGTTCCTCTTACAGATATTCACAAGGTCATCAAGAAAAAGGTCCTAACTAATGGCAGCTACTGTGGGATGTTCAGGTCAATAATAAGCTTAAAAGCATGAAACCTGTAGTGGAATACTGGAAATTAATTTGAAACTGAAGGGAGAAAGTAATGTTAACCTATCTTCGTATTGATCACTCTCAAGTCACACACAGTTACCTTTTGAAGGCCAAAAGTGAACCTGCTTGTTTTCACTGTTATAGTGTTCTGACAGAGCATTGTTTTTTAATTGAATGTACATATTGTAATGACTCTGACTTGCCTCTGCTGTATAATTGGAAATGAGGTCAATGCTAATTTTTTTCAATTCATGAAGGAGAGTGGTTTTTGTTACTTAATTTATTTTGTTTGATGTTGTATTTATGTATTTTAGTCCTACATATTTAAATGTATCTTTTAATTTATCCTATTATATATATATCTATCTATTTAAATGCATTTATCATATTTAAATGTATCTTTTATAGTTTTACACCTGTTTCACATCAGGTATCATTATTTGAATTGTAAGCAACTTCATCTCAGCATTCATCATTTTATAACTTCTTTTTATAAGTGTTCTGTTGTTTTAAATCCGTGATTGTTTCTAATTCTTATGTATAAGTAATTAGCATGTGTTTGGCACTTATAAACTATTAGATTGTGTGCCATGAAACCCACTACCATGACCACTACAAAGTCGAAAATAACTTTTCATTCTTCTACATTAAATCATACATTGTATATTTTATATGTAAAGAAAGTAGGTAATTTTGGTAATAAATCAATTGAAAAATTTACAAATGATTTGGAAATACACTTTGTAATAGACCGCCTTTTGTCTGATATAAAAAATGTAATATGGAGTGTAATCATAGTATAATATGCATGTCAGAAAAGTGAAATCGGTGGAGAATTTTTGGCTCAATAAATCATTCAGTAAAGATATACTTTGTTGTATATGAATTATATTGAATAATATTTTTTCATTTTAATATCAAAATATTTTCAATTTTTCCAGACATATGAATCTTCTGGTACAAAGAGGTTTTTTTCTTGTGTAGCGTCTGATGGACAATGTGTGTACCGTATTCCCGAGCATGCTGATTGCATAGAAATTCATATTAATGTGACAGGTATGTTGTTATTTCATATATTCATATAAAATAATTACTGATGCAAATTTTATGAAACAAAAATTTTTTATGAGGTAATCTATAAATTTAATATTAAGTTCTGTAAATATGTTGATGCTAATAACCATCATTGAGTGCAAATTCAGTTTAGAAAAAATGTTATTTATGGGAAAAAAACGCAATCAACTAAAGTCATAACATAAATAACCTAGTTCAAAATTCTTACATTACCAACACTGGAGAAAAATTTAGCTGCTTTCATATTTTTAATATTGTCTGGCAAGATTCTGTTACGATCAGTCTAATAATCTGATATCAAATCTTGCTATTGCCGCAAAAAGTAAATACTCAAATATATTTTTAGGTGGATTCCAAATAATATTATATCTATGAATTCAATTGCATATGCAATATAAAATTGCATATGCGATATAAAATTGTAAAAGTATTTTATTTCCATTTCTTTTGCATTTTGCTTTTCCACATTTTGGATCTTCAAATACTTTTAAGCATCTCAAAGAAAAGTCTACCATTAAAAATTTCAAAATAAATAAAACAAAACGTGTAAACTGTCTCATGCAATTAAAAGGAAAAAAACATGATTCTGTATTGTTATAAAGCATGTGACAGAAACTTCTTTTATTAATTTTTTTAAAGTAACAAACAGTCATCAGAATTTTCCATTACATATGCTGTACAGTCAAAGGTCTTTAATCCGGACTCGTCGGGACTTCAGTGATTCCGGATTATCGATTTTTCCGGATTATAGATCATCAGTTTAAATCTGGTAAGATGGCATGCAGAAATTATAAAATTAAAAATATTAAACCGTAATTTATAAAAAAATGAGCAATTATGATCTAAAGGGTATCAAAATTTACAAAAAAAAAGCTTAATATTTATTTGTTTACTTTATTAAACATTTCTTTCAATGCGTGCATGCGTAAAGCATACGTTATGCATAGCCAAAATTAGAAAATTGCAACCAGAAAACTAATTGATTTGTATTCGTGATATTTTATAATGACGAGGAATTTGATTTAAATCATATCAAAGACCGAGTACATCGAGATGAAATACTACATTTAATAAGGAATTATAAGCCGAATAAAATAAAAACATCTGCCCTAAAGATAACGATAGTGCTGACAGATCAACTTCCAGTTCATTGCGCGCCGCGACGTTCCCCCTCCCCCCCCGCGCAGAGCAGCGTGAAATTGATAAACAGATTTCGGAACGGTTAAGCCTAAACAAAGGATATGCCTTTATCCATTTTTTGGTGCAATTTCACTTTTTGTTTGATGGATATCAAAACATACTTTCGTTTTGTAGAGCCTTTGGGAGCTGCAGCATCGGGAATTCTATTTGACATAATCGAAAGTTCAAGCTTACTTTTATAAAATTGCTCTTACAGTCTGCAAAAAATAATAAGCCGGATCCAATTCGAAGATTAAGGAACAACGCAGTCATCAACATTAACTGAAATAGATAATTAGATAATTTTAGCTTATACCATCCGTTATACATTAAACGCGCACACGAAAACGTATTCTGCGCTTGTGCACACGCATATGCGCAGTCGTAACTAACTGTCTTACACGCACGCGTAAGTGCCTATGCTCATGCGTCAACGCGGCGCATGCGCAGAAAGTTTTTAGCTTTGAGGTCCGGATTATAGATCATTCCGGATTATGGGTGTCCGAATTAACGACATTTGACTGTATTTACTTACATATCCCTGAAGTTTGCCTACCAAATATAACTTCACTTATGTGTTAATGAAAGTAATGAATATGCAACCAACACTATTGTTTTGGAAACAGTTTTATGATTTTACTTTGGAGTAGAGAAGAGCTTGTAGATTTGTAAAATATGTCTAGGAAATGGTTTCAGTATAGAAATGAAACACTTCACATAAGTTAGGCTATTATGAATTACATCAATATTTAAGCAATGCACAAAAATTTGCAAATAATTTTTATCATTTAGAAGTATTTAATGTTTAAAATCTGTATAAATTTATGGTTACAATTACACAGTACTGTTTTTCAATTTCTTAATATTTCAGAATACTAGCAAATTTTGTTAGAAAATCTCACCTTATAGTGATCAAAATTTTCTTCTTTAATAATTTATTCTGGATTAGTTATATGAATTAGGCTGCTAATTTAAATTGATATTTTTCTCTTTGAAACAGCTGTAATTTTGTTGAAACCAAACTGTAGCTTAATGTTCATATGTAGCTCTTTTTGTTTTTTTGATGAAAGGCAACAGTTACTCAAGTAAATAAACATGTAATGTGCATTTGTAGTTTGCTTATTTCTTTCTACTATATTTTAAAAATATATCTGCCATTTAAGTGATTTCTATCACGTTATCAGCACGATGCTCTAACGAAGTTTATTTGGCAGAAATGAAGAAGAGATTTTGATTTTTCCGAAAGAAAAAGAAGCAACATCCACAGCGCCGCCGAAGCTAAGCCTAAGACATTTAAAGCGATCTGATGGAAGAAATTAAGATTCAGAAACTCAACAGAGATTAATTGCCATGCTTGGAAAATCTGAGCATGAGCTCTTTTAGTTCAAAAAAATGTTGGGAAGCAATTGATCCAGGTTACAGTGCTGAATTAAAGAATGACGAAAAGAAAATTAATGAGAAACACTTAACCTTTCTATTCTTAGTGGTTGAAGACCAGCTCTTAGATGACATCGCTGACTGTGAAAGAGCGAAAGAAGCATGGGATACTTTAAAAGTTATCCATACAAAATTTGGACTCTTGCATTCTCTACAACTTTTAAAGGAATTTTTTAATGCAACTTTAAAACCTGGAGAAAGTGTGAGTTCTGATCTAAGTCGATTGATGGACCTGCACTAAAAAGTATCGTCTTGCAGACGGAGAAGTTGCCCTCATTATGTTAATGAGTTTGCCCAAGGAATATGAAGGTCTTATACTCAATTTAGAACGTGATGAAGATACATTGTCAACCCAAATCATAAATCGCGTTTCATCGTAGAAGAGAAAAAATTACTGCGCTGCACAGAAGTGAAAACAGAAATTTCTACCAGTAAGGTCTTAGGAGAAAAGCCCTCAAAACTCGAGATAAGTACAGAACTAAACTGTGCAGCCAATAAAAATAAAGCATAAAAATATACAGAAAAACCCGTTGCATTTCGTGTGGAGAGTGGGGTCATATTGCCAAAAATTGCTCTGCTGCTAAAACCCCACATGCAAAAAGGGTTTTTAATGAAATATATCAAGCACAGTTTGCTGATTCTTGCGGTGGGAAACCTGTCTGTGATTGGTACCTCGATAGTGGAGCCACTGAACATATGTGTTCTCAAGAGCAGAAATTTATGAATTTAGCTTCAGTGATATTGTTTTGAATTCTGTCAGAGAATGTGGGAAAAATGCTATTCATCTAGCAAATGTTCTGTATGTCTCTAAGCTTGATGGTAACCTTCTTTCAGTGGGAAAAATAGAAGAAATGGGAATGACTGTTTCTTTTTGAGAGGGGCAAAGCAGTCATAAGAGATCCAAAACCACAAGATTATGTCATTCTCACTGCACATAGGTATGGAAGATTATACAAAACTGAAGAGAAGCAAATGCACAAAATATACCTTTCCAGATATGAAAAAATTATGCATCAAAGATTAGGACATTTCCACCATGATGCAGTTAAAAAACTTATGGAAAGGTATGATTTGAATATGACATGAAGAAATCCAAGAAAGGGGGACTGTTTGTTCAATATGTATTTTTGGGAAAATGAAGAAGACTCCATTTCCCAAGGAAAAAGCCAAACATTCAACTAGATTACTTCAGTTGATACATACTGACATCAAAAGGTGGATCAAAGTATGTCGTTACCTTTGTTGATGACTACTCAAGGTATGATGTGGTTAAAACTATGAAATCTAAAGATTAAGGTCCTTGAAAAATTCATAGAATATAATTCATAGAATATGATTAAATGTCTTCTAGATTCCAACATCCCACAAGAATTGTGGCTAGATGCTGTGACTACTGCCTATTATTTGTGTAACAACTGTCCATCAAAAGCTACCGAAGGAAACATACCTGAAGAACTCTGGACCAAGAAGCCTGGGCAAATTAGTCACCTGAGAATATTTGGCTGTCGAGCTTTTGCTCAAATTGATAAAATGTTACAGAAAGGAAAGCGTGCTCAAGAATGTGTCTTTATAGGATATCCCGAAGGTGTGAAAAGATACAAACTATGGAATACAGAGGAAGATAAGTTTTTAGTGAGTAGAAATGTTAAATGTGATGAGACTGTTTTTCCATTGAGGAGGAGCCGGACAGCTACTCAAGCAAAGAAGGAAAATGAGGTGACCTTTAACTTAAATCATTCTGACAGTGAAGTAAATGTTGTTCTATTAGAAGTACCCATCAGTTGCACCACCACAGGAGTTGGAAATGTTGAAACCCCATTAAATGACACAGCAGAAGAAATTGAAAGACACAGAATCAGCATTCCTGGGAAGATTCTGATAGTAGTAAGGAAGACCCTATTGGAATCAGAAAAAGCACTAGAGAAAGGAAGACCTAAGACGTACTTACTATGGGGATCCAGTGTTATGTTAACCTGGTTGTGAAGAACAACCTGCCATCAAAATCTGTCTGTAAGAACCCTAACAAGTGTAAAAGAAGCAATGAATTCACCAAACGCAGAGATGTGGAAAGAAGCCATGAAGGAAGAATTGTCCTAATTTGTACGAAAATCAGACATGGGAGTTGGTTCCAAAATCAGCTAGTATCAAACCCATAGGATGCAAGTGGGTATTCAAAGGAAAAGCAAAATGCAGAAGGAGAAATAATCAAATTTAAAGCTCGATTAGTAGCTAAAGGCTACTCACAAGTTCCTGGTAGATATTTTTCAGAGACTTTTTCCCATGTTGTAAAGATAAAATTTATAAGAATTCTTCTAGCCCTTGCTGTCGAGTTACAAATGGAAATTCATCAAATGAATTCATAAAAATCATCTTGAGAAAGTACTGAAGCATCATAGCATCATCTTTAGGACCACCAATCAATTAAAGATGGTTTGCACTGGCGATTTATCAATAGTTTCCTCACCATTTAAAGAATGGCGACCATAATTATAAGGAAATATCATTTTATCTCCAGTTCTTCAAACTACTACTTTAGTTGAAATACACAATATAATTTGCATTATGGCGAGGAAATGAAAGGGAGAAATGACAGTAAAGATTCAAAACATAAGATAACTGGTTACTGAAAAATAATAGTAAACCTTACAACTTTAATTTTCATATGTTAATGAAGGAAAGAAATGCTGGTTTAGCATTTATTGATGATGTGGATATGTCAGTTAGCTATAGAATATCACCCTCCACAGTCAAAGGAAATTAAAACCTTTGAAGTAAAAAGTATAATATAACAAAAAATGCAATGAGTCAAGTTCAAATTTACAACTTCAGTATGCCTCTTCTTAGAAGCATTCACATGGCTATAAAATTTTTTAATTTCCAACAAAATCAATTTTTTTCTCAGACTTTCAATTGCAATTAGGATTAAATGTTACTGTTACAGAAAATCTGTACAAATCCAAGGAGGTAAACACTAGTTCCACCCCCTTTCAAGGAGCTTCTATAGCAGAAAACCTAAAATTCATTGAAGAAGTGGGGTGTAGTGTTTATCTGCTTCAAAGGATGAATTTCTCCAAATTTAGAATATTAGTTCATTTGAATTTTTCTGCCCCCCCTTTTTTTTAATGATCAGTTTTCTAAGTACAATGTTTACTGATCTGAGCTTAAAAAAATTGCATAAGAATTAAAAATTTTTTAACTTTTTCTTTTCAGATGGTGAACAAGCATTGAGATGCGTACGAGCTTTTTGTTCAATGCTAAAAGAACATCGTCATAATAAAGATTTGCTTGATATTTTGATCATGCTCAACAAGGAACTTGTTCTTGATAATGCAGATAAAGATAATTCTGTGTTAGTAACTTCAACTTTAACTAGAGGAATATTTTTGCCTTAAGAAAATAAATAGCATGGTTTTAATTTATGTAAAATTTTTAAATGAAACCATCTACTCAATTAAAAATAATATGAAAACACTTTAAATTGCGGAAATATGTGTGAACTTAAAAGGTATAACTAGATCTGTGTGTGAGTGATATGATTTCAAAAAATTATTTCAGCTGAGCTGAAAATTATTGCATTGATATGTAAATGGAAATAAAGATAATTTTTTTAAATATAACAGCTCGTCGTCTGCTTTTTGAGTTGTTGCAGAATGAAGCCTTTTAATATCTTAAAACGTAATCTGCCAAAATCTTTCTTAAATGATTATGCTTTCATTGCAAGTTTTTTCCCACTAATATGTGTGATAGAATTCTTATTTATTTGCTGATGTAATATTTCACTGAATCTTTTGTTCCACCAAACATGTTGACCTAATAAGAAAATAACCATTATATTGCATGCAATTTGTGTAATTCCATATGATTTATGTAATATAATTCAGATCCTTTAAAACTGTCCTCCAAGCACTAAAGGTTAAATCAGATTTTCTCATGTTCTGGATTTATTCATTAAAAATTCTGAAATAGATTATTGCATGCAACAGCCAAAAAAAATTCTATTTTGGTGCAGTATGCTATATTGAGTTAATGAGGATACAAATATACTTTTGTTTTCTGTTCTTTCCAAATAAATATGCTAATTCTGTATTTTCATCACTGAAATTCAGTTTCAAAATCCACCAAACCCACACATGTGAATTACAGATCAGACGCATCTATGTCTCAGTGTTCTTATTTCAGTGCCTCCAAAATTGTTCTGTCAGTACATTCTTCGGCCAGTTCTAATTATGAAAAAATCTACATGAGTTTATTAAGCTATGTTCACAGTGAATCCTGGGAAAAGTCCTGTTTCACCAAAAATTTTAATGCAAGTTTGTACCGCATTCACGATCAAATCATTCATGTCATGTCATCGAACCGCAGTTTCATTACACACACACACATATATATATATATACAGTATATACATGTGTGTGTGTATATATATATATATATATATATACATACATATGAGGGTGAATAAAATATAAACGAGCATTTTTTTTAATAAAATGTATTTAATAGGAAACATCTGCGTTTCTACAATTTATTTTTCCTAAATAATCTCCTCCTTTTATGATGCATTTTTCCCAGTGCTTTGGTAATTCTTTCATTCCTTCCTCGTAGAATGAATTTGGGCGGGTATCTAACCAGTTGCGCACGAATGTTTTTACTTGATCGTCGGTCTAATCGCTTGACTCCAAGTGCTTCTTTGAGGAATCCAACATGTGAAAAATCACGTGGCGATAAGTCTGAACTGTAAGGTGGATGATCAAGCGTTTTCCAGAGCATTTCCACCAGTTTCTGCTGCGTTACACTTGCGGTGTTAGGCATGGCGTTGTTGTGAAAGATCAACACTTGTCAGATGGCACAGTCTCATCTTTTGCATTGACATTGAAGCCTAAGATGATCTAAGAGACCGTAGTAGTAAGTTGCATTGATGATCTGACGTCCGTGTAAGAAATCCACCAGTAGGATCTCTTCCAGTCCAAAAGGCTGTGGCCAACTCTGCAGACAATTGAGTTTTGTCTCTCATGGGGTTTCCTTCTCCACTCCGTGCTTGCAAGCTTTAATTAGAGGGGGATCATAATGCACCCATGTCTCGTCACAAATAATAATTTGAGAAATGCGAACTCGTGCATCTCTTTTATCATCATTCAGTAACTTTGGGACCCAACGAGCTGAGATGTTTCTGAAGCCCAACTACTTTCTGATGACTAAATGGACACTTCCATAGTTGACATCAAGTTGTGAAATTTGAAGCGCTATGCAGCCTTGATCCCATTCGATAAAACTCGCGAACATGTGCAGTGTTTTCATTAGTTACACACAACGACGGGGATGACCTTGATTCGCAGCACGTTCACGGCCTTACATGAATTCATTGCACCAAACTTTTACACTAGACCATCGAGAGTAGCTTCTCCAAACTGGGGATGCAGTCTGCGGTAAATTTCGGCTGGTGTCATGTTTTTACAGATGAGGAACTTTATAATTATGCTTTCCTCAATAGAGATGGGCACACTCTTCTTACTCATCATAAGAGCTACTAAATAAAGCACGGGACAAGCCAGCTAGTATGGTTGCCTTACTCTAAGCAATCCCACAGTTTCTGCTGCGTTACACTTGCGGTGTGGGGCCTGGCGTTGTTGTGGAAGATCAACACTTGTCGGATGGGAGAGTCTCGTCTTTTGCATTGACAATGAAGCCCAAACTGTGACGAGACATGGATGCATCATGACCCCCCCCAATTAAACGACTTGAACTGCCCAAAGGGCTAGTTGATATTTAATCGCCCTACATACATATATATATTTGTAATGAGATGACTTAGGAGTAGCTGCAATAGATTTGGCGATTGTCCTTTACATTATGATAACTTTGAGAGGCTCTATTATGTAGTTTAAAAGGATGACACTTGAAGGTAGATGTAACCCTAATTTCAATGCATAATATTATTTTTTGATAGCTAATTTTAGGAAACATAGTCCTCTTTACACATAATCATTATGGGTGTGACATGCAAACAATAATTTATATAACTTGCATATCATTAGACAGTAGACGGCAGAAGCAAGGGAGATTTCAAAGCAGCACTGAGCGGAGTAAAAAACAAGACTGCATAGTTTGCTGCAGCGGCATTTGTAGACGTCCCCTTGTGTAAATTTTGATCTGTGATCGGATTAAAAAAAATCTATAATGCTGCCCTTACGTGATGGCTTAATGCAGATTAATTTTCAGATTCATACATTAATAGCTTTAAGACAGGAAGAGGACAAAACCAAATTGGCATGAGGAATTAAGTGGACTATCGCCAGATTCAAGTTAATAATTTTCTTTCATGTTTTATATTGTAATGTATTTTGCAGTAATTAAAAAAACAGGCAATCTTCTTAGTAGAACATAAATTTTATTTCTAGTTCACGGAAATAGATAGTTTGAAGAAATTCTTTAGTGGCAAAACTTTTATACTACTACTAGCTGTTAAACTTCAGAGTTCTAATCTTTAAAACAGTTTCTCACGTTGCTGAGCAACGGTTACATAATGCAGATATGGCGTTGCCACTTCAACAATAAATATAGTTATTTATTAAATAACAAGATATTACACCCTCTCCCCCCTCCAGATAAACTTTAATTTATATTTTTACGGTTTTTTTTTTTTTTTTTTTTCCAACAACAACAATATCAGCACAATATAGAATTGAAATACAAGAAATAACATAATAACATACACTGAGGAAGAGAGGAAGGGAAAAAAATGTATTTTTTAAAATCTATATAGAGAAACAAATTATTTAATCAGACCAGGGAGTACGACTTAATGCGTCTACATTTTTATGGTTTTTACTACTTCGATGAACGAACGTGTAATTGTAGGGTTGTAGTACTAGTGCCCATCTCATAAGTCGTGGATTTAGACTCACATTATTTTTGAGCCAAACTAAGGGATTATGATCGGTCATGATGAGAAATTTAGTATGCCCGTCTAAATAACATTGAAGTTTCTTTACAGCAAATATTATGGAGGCGCATTCCTTTTCTGTGGTAGAGTACATTTTTTCAGTTTCTGTAAACTTCTTACTGAGGTATAATACTAGATGTTCATTTTCTCGTTCATCGTTTTGAGCTAAAATGACACCCATACCAGAGTCCGAAACATCAATTTACAAAACGAACTCCTTATTGAAATCAGGTGAGTGTAATAGAGGCTTTTGCGGCAGTTTTACTACTTCAACAACTCGCTCTTGTTTGTTTGAAAACTTTCCTTGACTTGTATATCAACTCCAAAACTTGGCAATTCATCTATAGCTTTTAACTGAGAATCGTTTAATTTTGTCAGTTCTTTCTTTTCAGATAGTTTTTGCTCGTTGCGAGATGAACCTTTGTTCTTATCTGTTACTTGCATTCTCATTGAATGTGGCAACTTTGAGTATCCTTTATCATGTTTATGCCTCTTTGCTAAGTTTTCTGACGCGAGCTTATATTCTGAATATATTTTTAATTTATCAGCTTTAGAAGCACCTTCATGAGTTCTTTTATAAGAATTTCTTTGATCTGCTGCTAACGAACTGTCAAACACATCTTTACTTTTTGGGGAAGATGGAACTGATGAACTTGTAGAGGAAAATCACACACACTATCCATAGAAGATGAATCACTAGATAAATAAGGTGAATCAACTTCCACATAAATAACTTCAGTTTTCTCATCAAGAGATGAACGCTTAGATTGTTTGTCAGATTTCTGTGAAGCATTGACAGGAACTTGACTCTTAGGAGGGTGAGTATTGACCAAATTACCCTGAGTTTTAGCACTATTATTTGTTTGGATCTGCATCAAAGATGAATAGTTCTGCATTTGATCCCTATATCTTTCAGGAATAACAATTAATTCCCTTTCATTTCCATTTTTATCTAATTTCTTTTTCATCAACAGCTCGTTCTCCTTTACTTTGACATCATTTCCGAAATTTTCACTTTTAGCTTCGCTAAGCAATGAGGCTAGATCTCTGCTTTGATGCTGAGATTCAATTAATTCCTTTGAATTAACATTAATTATGTTCTTGATTTCTTTGTCTTCCTCATCAGCTTGCGGTAAAATATCTTCATCAGTCTCAATAACAGACAGTTCTTCTTTGTTCCCCATTTCGGTGTCTCTACTTCGATCTTCACGAAATCGTTTTACTTGAGATCGTGTCAAAACCGCATTTATCCTTTCTAAATTAAGAATTGTTTATCTTTGAACAACTGAGCAGTTTTGTTACCCAATATATATTGTTTCGGCCACTAGAGTCGTTTGCCTGTCTGTGAGATATTATTTCGCAATGCGCAGATCGTATGCTCAGCTCGCATTTTGTTTTTGCATTCTTGCAAACGCTAATTGTAACTCTCTCGCTTTACTTTTTGCTGTGTTATGTTCTAAAGCTGAAATCGCTAAAATAAAAGTTAAACTACAGTCCACTCGCAAGGATGTATTCTTATGTTTATTAATTTAAATTTAAGATACCGCTACGCTACATTATTTCTGTCGAGCCGGAGATTCGAAAAAAAAAAAAACCCGCGCTTGTGAATAAAAATTCTACGGATTCATAATGGTGTTGATAATGGACTTTCGGTTTAGAACTCTCAAGAGTTTC